TCTCTCTCTCTCTCACTCACTCACTCATTGGATCTTGAATTGTTAAAATAATTTAAAAATTTCATAATATCGTTGTTATTATAACAACAAGAATATTATATAAATGTCAAAATCATTGTTTAATTTGATGGCAAAATCGCGAATACAACATGAATTGACACCAGTTTTAGTCTAAAATAATAAATATAATGTAAAATTGTTAAATGATTTGTAGAATAGTTTTTACCTTGTGTTTTACTATTTAATTTATTAAAGAGATGACATTAGTATTGATAATACAGTATACGATTATTAATAAAATAAAATTAAAATAACAAACATGATCAAAAACATGATTAATAATTGAGAATATTATTGCCAAAATTAACGCAATTAGCGTCGGCTTTGGATCTAAAATTAAATATCTCGCGCAATAACCTAGATGGTATTGTGTTAGGGTCAACGTCAAAGCTGGCATTCATTTTTAAAATGACCAATGACTCTAACTGATTTATCATGACCAATAGTTTCCGGTACTTTAGGCCCGACACCCCGTCCGTCCGGTACCTCAATAGTAGATACCGTTGCAGTAAATACATGTATATTCGTTGTTGTAATCTATGTACATGGTGGTAAAAATAAATATAGATTATTAGTTTAGTTTACTATACATGAATAATTGCAATTAAAAACTTACTTAATTAATGGCTTGTTTATTAAGTTAGGCCTATTAGGGCTAAACAGTATGATTGCGGTTAACTAAAAAAATCGTAAAACAATCATGGTTATAATAAATGAAATGATAAAATTTCACAATTGTTTTACTACCAAGTCTAGTAATACACAGTCGTCGTCCCATTCGCGGCATATGTTATAATAAAATAATTTATACAAATTAAAAATGTCATTGGGTAGATACTTGTACACATCCAGACTTATCGTTATGGTATTCGTGTTTTCCTGTGTGTCAACAATAATATTAAAATAATTATTATATATTTTTATTTTATTTTTATTTCAATTAGTTAAGATCGAGAATGTTAAAATTTTATGTTGAGTTGATTGTTACGCCAATACCTAATATTAAATATTATAATATATACACAATTTCTACCCTGATTAATTGTTTACAGTTTTTACTTGAGAGAGAGAGAGAGAGAGAGACCCACTAACCATAGTAAATGTCCAATGATTATCTTGGTAATCAAAATCGGGCACACAGCGCAAATAAAACATATCCAAACAACCATGTTTAATCAGCGAAATACGGTCATTCTCGCACAGCTCATTAAATGCCGTCAAATTTTTGGCCATTTTGATCAAGCTACATATTCTAGCCTCGATCTGAAAAGTCATTACATTGTTACTTTTGACAGCAAACTCGGTCACCGGAACCACAGTCTCCGTGTAGATGTGCATAGCGTTTAACAACTCGGTCAATCGTCTGCCCTCCAACTCGTTCAGTTGGTTCCCGTAGTCGGTTAGAGGTCTACGCGGTCTGTTTAATTGTCCCATAGGGTTGGCGTAGATCCGGTATATTAGATGAGGTGTAGGGTTCTCCTCATTTTCACCATCGGTATTGCTGTCGCTATTTATTGCCAATTGATTGTTATATTTGACTACAGGTTGTTCTACCATAGAGTACGCTTCGGTTGGCGATGCGTCGGTCACCCTGTAGTCACTTTCGGGACTACTATCGGGTGTTTTCGTACATTTGGTGCCCTTTTTGCGCGGAATACCCATTAGTTTTTCGTACCGCTTGTGCCTCTCCTCGTCGTTCAGTATGTAATCCTGTTTTATATAATTAAATATAATTAGTTATAATTAATTATAAGTAGTTATAATTAAAATATAAATTAAAATAATTAAAATTATTTATAACTAAATAAATAAATATATTTTAACTACTTTTTTCATTCCCATAGCGTAACACTTGTCGAGTCGGCATTTAATGCAAAACTTTCGCGATTTGACATCAATTTTGCAATCGTTATTGAAATTGCATTTAAATTCCTATTAATAAAATACAAATACATAATTAATTTAATAATCATGATTAATTAGGGGTATATCTTACTAAGTTTTTTGGTGCGTTGCGCCGGAAAAACGCCTTACAGGAGCCGCAGGTCAGAGCGTCAAAGTTGACACCTAAACACCAAGATTGAAAACATTATTAATATTATCACTCAATAGGTGCCAGTAATGCTCATAAACGCACATAGTAAATTGTATTTAGCATTATATTGCAATAAATTAAATTAAATATGGTGTATTTCCTCACCCATGGCCGTATCGCCGCAAATTGTGCACAGTCTCGCCAACCGATTATTGGCCATAGTTTATAATAAAAATTAATACACTAGTTACAATTAATTAAAATCCTTTAGTTTGAACCAACTAGATTTAAATGTTTTAAACAACATATAAATTCACTCTCATATATAGATTATTACAGTTTCTAAGACAACATAAAACAGATGTAAAGGTATACTGAAAGTGCACTTCACTTAAGTGGTGTGTATATACTTTAAGTTACTTATACCGTATAAGTTATACGCAAGTCTATTATAATAAATATGAAATAAATATTGACTATGGTGAAGGTCTGTAATGCAAAAACACAATACAATTACTATGCAATACATTAAATGGCAGTAAATTAGAAATAGATTGATTTAACCTTGATAGTGAATGTATACTTTACATAAAGTATGATGTTTGCTATATTTTATTATGATATCATAATTGATTTTAATTTTAAATTCAACTTTTTTATACTAAAATAACTAGTAATTTATTAATACAAGTGTTTTTTTATTATAAATTTTATTAAAACTTTTAGTATTAAAGTTTTGTACTTTAATACTTTTAATTTAAAATTAAAGTACTATTAAGATATGTAATAAACATTTATGTTTTAGGGCAATTAGATAGTACGTTCAACAAATTAATTAATCATGTTAATATTTAACACACATGTTTAAAACCCATAATAATTAATTATTAACATTTGAAAATTAAATGTGGTTAGAAATGTGTGACTATTTTTATTATAGATTATTTGTTTTAAAAATGTACAAAAATATTTATACACATAATTAAAATGATGTTTATTGTATGATATCCCATGTTAAAAATGAAAATACACATGATAATATCTACAAACTTAAATGACATATTTAAAATAATAAAATAAATATAGATGCAATAATAAACCATGATTAATAAACCGGTCACTTACAGAAAAAATGCAAGCTAAATAATTTAATACAAATAATAACAGAATAAATTAATATAAAAACAAATTAAATCAAAATGATCATAATAAAAAAAACTAATAAATGAGTATGTTGGAGGTTAAGGCCGAAGTATTATCATGATGATCATCACTATTGCCCTGTATTGTTTTAATGTCAAATATTTCTTGCAATATCCGATACGGTATAATTTTCTCATCCAATTCCATACAATTCTGGTGTTTGCTTAACGACACCGACTGTAGATGTGTTAGACTTTTCAATAGTCGATAACATTTCTGTTGCGATTCACTCATCGATCGGTACCTTAACTGCAGATACCGTTGCAGTAAATGCATGTAAACCTGTTGTTGTAATCTATTTAAATGATATAGATTATATTATTAATCAAATTGTTATATTTATCAATAAATAGATTTAATTTATAATTTATATTTAAAACTGTAAAACTATTCATTATGTCTAAATAGTTATGCTTTACACATTAAGAGAGCTAACTTTATGGCATTATAATCTGATCCATTACTATAAAATATGCAGGTTAACTTTTTAAATTGTACTTGTTAAGTATTTTATGTTTAAATTTATAAGTGTGATTAAAAAAT